AGACTACCCAGCTTTTCTGAAGAGTTCCTTTAAGGTTAACCAAGTTTCCTTAGGCAGGTCCTGCATTACTAGGTTGCTTCATGTTGCATCAGAAGAAGCATCCCCTGCAATACGACTTTGATGGAGTCAGGTGAAATCAGGTGTCTAGAGCCAGCCTGGGATTCATTTGTATGAGAATACTAAAACAAAACTCAAGATATACAAACTTATATGAAAAAGATACAACTAATAAGAACTTACAGTTATGCCAGTGCCAAAATCACACCTTTAATAAAGTTACTTTCAGCATAAAGTTACTTTCAGAATGAGCACAGACAAGATCATTCACAAACCACTAAAAACTGCTGGTCAGTGAAGATGCAAAGTAACTGTGAAAGAAGTGCTTGCAGGCACAGGAGACAGGATCCAATTCACTGAGCTGTCCTAAGTGGGATGTGAGCACTACTTTTCCTTTAGGGAAAAAGGAAATATATTTTGCAATATGTTTAAGTGCACTTCAATTTCTTCACCACGCAGTATGTTGTTTCTAAGTTTGCAGAGAGGTTAAAGGTTTGTTTTGGGACAAGGAGTGAGACAGGGAGAGGAAAAAAGTCTTTCAGAAAGAAATGGTATATTCTACCAATGATAAATGCGTTTTGCTGCAGAAATACCAGCTTCTCTAATAGGAGCTTACTACCAGGGGCCTAACCTGTCCCTACCTGGTTAAGTTTTTGTTTCAGAGGTTGTTCTGGGAGGGTGCCACTCCTCGGACAAGGACATGATGACCTTCATAATGTCTGATGAGCCAGAGAAGTTTGTCTGTGAGAGGAAGCTTAGTCAGGACTAAAGACAAGGCCAAAGCTCCTAAATACAAAAGACAGTAAAAATTTAAGATAATTTCTACCTTTGCTCTCTGAATTCAACTCTTATATGGCAGAAAAAAACACCAGAACTTTATTCAAATTCACATTTCTGACTTGATGGCTACGTTCACTGGAACTTTTATAAAATTTCTTAGTGTGGCTGTGATTATGGAGAAAGATAAAAATCGCCAGTGTCATCACTGTCTCAGTATGGGGAAATCTTGATACTAGAAACAGCATGGCATGAAGCAGCTACAGCATAATAGAGGCTAACCAGGTAGGGTGGTATTATCTTCCAGGACCCAGCTACCCACTGGTGTGCATGCTGCAATAGTAGCTCATCCTTTTAAACTAGAGGAAGAACGTTATTTGTGATGAGAACCTACTTGAAATAAAACCTTGCTCTCTCCATTCTTGTTTTAACCATAACTTGTACAACCGAGACTGGAATATTAAGTCAGTAGGGAGCTGCACATAAACCAAATACCTGGGAGACAGTCAGTTCTTTCATTAGTCTCATTTGCAGGGAATGCACCAGTCCCTTCTCTGACACAAGCATGAAATTCCACGTACAAGGATTTACTTCTCATGTTTACTGGCAGATTTTGAATCAAAAGCTTCATGCGCATTGCAGCAATTAAATGCATGAGTCATGAATTCATTGGTTTGGAAAGATTCCTACTTCATCTTATTGCTCACCAGAACCATAAAAAAGGGCCATTGCAAGGAGGAAACCTGTCCCAAGCACCACTTGGGGACTGCACTGGTAAAAAGGATACCTGAGTTTCTCCTGTGCTATCACCCACAGTCCTCATGCCCCTCTTCTCTTTCCGGCCCCCTTGTCTAATGGGACTGCCAGATTCCTGGCTTACATACTACTAGTGTGCATTCTTCCTGAGAGTTTTAGCAGGACTGCAAAGGATGTCAGAGGCTCTTTGCCTTTCCCCGCCTTGGCCTTTATGACCCAGTCTCACAGTGGGAGGACCTGTGGAGCAATAGATTCATAACCTGTCCCCCAGGGCCTGAAGAGCTTGATGTGCTGTTCAGAGGAGGAGCAGAACTGTCTCTCTCCTGTTCCCTACCTCCTTGAGCTGAAAACCTATTACAATTACGAAGTTATAAGTCCGTATTACTATGTAGGCTAAAAAGGAATGAATGCACCTGGATTTGGAAGGACAAAGAGAACTGATCTTCTGCTACGATCGATGGTCACTGATCTAATTAGTAAAAAAAATGTTTTTTTTATTTTAAAATCCTAGAACTACATATATTCTCTAGCTTAACACTGGTTGCTTGATGCATTTGACTCCAACTCCTACCAAATATTTCTTATTAGAAATAATTGAGTATATTTATAATACAGTGAAAGGTATGCAATTGAATAAAGTTGATATCCCCTTCTCCTGTCTTTGTTTTGTTAAGCACTCTGCTTTGCATGAGGAGAAGCTTTGGATGAGCTTTGAGACTGGGACACTTCATGTCTTCTCATCTAATCTAAACATGCAATAATTACATAATCTAATTATATTATATATATCAGATATATCTGAAAATGTCTAATCTTCTCTTTAATAAAGCTTCTTTCTTGTGAAAGTAAGCTGCACAAGTCAGTTTCCTGTGTGAAACAAAATTTTCTTTCATAGTTTCTCAGTGTCCTGCTTTCTCTTTTCAGAAAGTTTCTCATTTTGGTTTCTGTATGAATGAGTTATTACAACACCTTCTTAACCCTGTCTGTGGTATTCTTTCACATGACTCTGTTGCATCTTCTCTTACCCATCTCCTTTGTAACCAGACCCAGGCATTACAGTTCTTTATTGAAATGGGCAATGCATAGAAATGCTACTTAGAGCAGTATATCCAGTGGTATTCACAAACCCTTCACTAGGCCATGGACAAAAGTTACACATAGTGACTATTATACAAAAATACCTGGACCTGAATGATCATGGAGTGCCTAGGATCATGAGAACATTATTCTATCCCCATTTCTCCTATTGCCATCTCACTCAAAAACTCAGGACTTCAAAATGCAAGAACTGGATGGGAGAAGGGGTGAAACCAGCAATGAGGAGGTCCTAGTAACTGGAGGTCCACCAGTTCTCCCCATCCCACTCAGCTAAAAGATGCTCTGCAAACTCTGTGCTATGGACCTGCTCTAGCTAGCCTTCTGTGGAAGGTGTTGCGCCCCTCAAAAAAGAAGCCCATATGATGTGCTTCAGCTGATTAGGTAGACACATGGCAAAGGCCAAAGCATCATTGTTGTAAGAATCCACTGAAGCAGACAAGGCAGGTAGGAAAAATGCAGTCTTTAAAAATGGTATGTTTTAGGTAAAGTAAATTTTTCATAGGGGCCTAGAACGCAGCATGGTTGGAAAGGGCAGTTTTGTGAAATGTTGTAAATTCCAGAAATAAGTGAAACCTAATAATAATAATAATAAAAAACAAAACCTTTCCTTCGAGCCGGAATTGAACCAGCGACCTAAGGATTACTTACAGCCTACAGTCCTCCGCTCTACCAACTGAGCTATCGAAGGAAGATGAAGACTATGCGACAAGAATGAGTCAAGACTATATCAACAATACCCTTAGGCTCTAATGGACTTCCTTATGTATTGCCTTTCATAATAACAAAACAGTATCAGAAAGAAGGTACAAACCTGGCTTTCCCTGCAAAACTGGATTTTGGTTACAAAACTGCCAGTTTTCTGCTTAATAGTTCACAGTTCTCGTGATACTGTTGTTGGCAGTAATGTTAAATTGGAAGTTTCTGTAGTGACCCATATGAAATTTGTCTCTTGCTCGACAAAGAAATTTGCCCGTTCTTCTCTGATCTTTCCACGTTCCTCGACTGAGCAAGGATGAAGAGAATTTCCTTCCACTCAATTCCCCATCACAGTTCTCCAGACAAATCCAATAACAAATCAGCAAACAAATCAACACACACCCTCCTTCACAGCTTCCACAGTAAAAGCAAGGAATGGAGGAAAGGATGGAAGCAAATAACCACTGAGGTTCAGTTCAAATCCCACCACCTCCCACAGTCTAAGTGAGACCCTTCACACACAGGTGAGGACAGCTAGGTTGCAATGTTAGGCGTTACTGCCCCGGTGGCCTACCCAGCCCCTAGGCCTGGGAGGTTGAGCCATTTGTGAATCATCTGTACAAGTGCCACAGCTCAGAGCCATAGCAACTGAAAGCAAACTACCCTCTTTTGGATTTGCAGTGATTCACAAACACCATGGCTGTCTGAACAGCAGGGTGGGGCAGAAAGCTGTGAGACTCCCTGTCTGCTTGCCGAAACTATGTCACCCCACTTGCAAAGGGAGCAGCACTAGATCATTGCCCTACAGCTCTACCCATCCATAACCCATGTTTATCCCCACCTTCTCCTTGTGACTCAACCCCAAACACTGGGCCGCATTAGCAAGTGTGTAGCCAGCAGGTTGAGGGACGTGATTATTCCTACATATTCAGACTTGTGAGCCTGCATCGGGAGTGCTGTGTCCAGCTTTCGGCTTCCCAGTACACAACACACATTGACACACTGGAGCGAGTCCAGTGGAGGGACCACCTGTAGCACATGATATATGAAGAGAGGCTGAGAGAGCTGGGTTTCTTCAGCCTTAAGAAGAGACCGCTATGAGGAGATCTCACTGCTTCCTATCTACAACTACTTAATGGGAGAGCATAGGGAAGACAGAGCCAGGCTCATCTTGGAGGTGCACAGTGATAAGATGGGAGGCAATGGACACAATTTGCCACAAGGGACATTCTAATTAAATAAAAAACAGTTAGTCTGAGGGTAAAAATGTTCACTACTGGAACAGGTTTCCCAAAGAGCTTGTGGAATCACTATCCTTGGAGATACTCAGAACTTGACTGGAAAACACCCTGAGCAACCTGACCTAACTTTAAAATCTACCTTGTTTTGACCAAGGGTTGGACCAGATGATCTTCAGAGGTCCTTTCCAACCTCATTTATGCTGCATTTCTGTGAATTTCCCCTCCACTGAATACATAAAAGTGACACCCCTCCCCTAGTCAGAAAGGTGACTTCACAGAGCAGATTAACTCACAGTAGAACCATCACCACGTACTTTTCTGTCTAGAAAACACAGCTCTTTGCCTCATAATCAAAACTCCCATGCACTTTATTTATTTTCAGACTAACAGAAATCCTAAGCCTCCCTTACTACTAAAAGGAGCACAGATGTTGATAGGAATTAAATAAGATGTTTTCCTCGTTATGTTCATGGGAATACAGAAGGGGCAGGAAATATTTGACTTACCTACAAGGCACTGTCATAGTTTTGCATAGGCCTAACACTGGAACCTGTGATGTGCCATGTCATTCATATACACACAAACAACTATTAAGTTGGCTAACACTGTGAACAGAGACATACGAAGGAAAGGAATAGAACTGTTCCATGTTGGCAGGGCAATATCAGAGTCCTCTTGGGTCAGGCGGTCTTAGTGGAAGGGGGTCTGCAAAATACAAATGTGTGAGAACGTGAGGTTAATCTTGCACTAGAGAAAGAATGGCACAACAGATAACATGTACAACCTCGGATCAGCAAGCTTCTAAACTGGAACAGATAGTGTAGCCTCAGGGTTTGAATCTTTTCTAGTCTGCAGACCCCACAGCATTTTCCAGTGACACTCTAGGCTCCTTTCAAGTAAACTCGAGCCTTTTGTCAAGAGCCTGCCTTATCTGAAATACCTTTCACAGACCCCTTAAAATTCATTCACTGGTCCTCCTAATGCATTTAAGGACCCCAAAACTGAAAATCACTGCTCTATTCAGTTTAAGTTATTGGTACTGTCATGTAATCTAGCAGTGAGGTACCTAAATACAGACTTTTCGGGAAGCATCACCATCTCTTGGCTGTCAAAAGTTGTTACTGGGTGAGATAACCCTAAACCACTTGTTCTTTTCTGTAAGAAATCAATGTCAGTTAAATCAAGATAAAAATTCAAATGGAATCAGATAAAAAGTAGATGCTGTTACTATCTACACACGAACAAATGGGATGCAGAAACCACAGTGTTGCCTTGACAATAAAAAGCTTTGGAATTCTCTTTTTGTGGAACCTTGTAGCAATGATGTATGGGTGACTTGTGAGAGAGATTTTCCTACAACTGCACCCCCCCAGGGCATCTTTTCAAAGTAGGTATTCCTAGGAAAAAAATAATTATTTTTTTCTTGATTTTTTGAACTTGGTAAGCTTTGAATGCTTAAAAAAAATAGATTTTGGCACAAAGTTCATGAAAGAGCTGATTATTTCAATTCTTTTAACTGATTAAATGAAGATACCAAGCTTTGAGAGTCAAGTGACTGAAGCCCTGAGCTATAAAAAGGGAACATCTCACCTGTTTCATGTGGTGTAGAACATGATGAAAGGAAAGGATGTAACTTGAAAGCAGGATGGCGAAACAGTCAGAGGTGAAGCTACTAATAACTGGACTGTGTAATTACACTTGGTAATACTATGTGTTTTGTTAAGCTTAGATTAGCATATGATGGTCTCCAGTGTTTTGTATACTTACAGGCTGACTTTCTAGCATGGCTTTACATGGTTTAAAGATTTTCCTCCAATAAGAACCTTTAAAAAATCTGGTTGATACAGATGGGCTTGAGGGTTTGTTCTCTTTTCTTTTAAGGTGGAATTAAGCACATGGCTCCAAATATGAACATCAGATGACTGGACTCACCATGAACTTTCCAAATCTTTGTGTGCCTTTTAATTTTACCTGGTCTGTGTTAAAACTCTACTAGTTGCCTGCTGCGGTTTTTGCACCGCCAGCAAGTGATTAATTTAAGACATCTCAGTTTGGCAGTCTTGTGTGACACCTCTGCGCTAGAGACTGAGGTTTTCCTAAGGACTACTACTTATATCAACTTGAATGGGGAGTCTGAAGCATGAGTGAAACAACCATCTGTGTTTACCTGTTAAAATTCAGGAATGAAATCTCTTTGGGTCGGACAAACTTTGTACTTAATGGTTGAATAGCAGCTGGCACAACAGGCTTCCAGCCCTGTTTGCTGCCCTCAGGCTCTGTTGTGATGTGAATAACAGGTATGACTTCTTGGGCCAGCTTCAGAGACAACCTTAATAACATGTCAGTGTGAATGAATGCCAAGAGGCAGGAGGGTGGGAATGCAGAAGGAAAAGAATTGGGAGAGTACACGAAGGTTTCATATAAAGAAAGCCTGCTTGCATAGGAGAGTGGGCTGCTTTTCAGGAAACGGTTTACAGGCCATTACTTACAGCTACCGCTTTTTGCCTTGCTCAGAGAACCCGCTTGACGCTTCTGATGCTGCACTGTTAGCAGTAATAGACATCCAGACGGACATATCCTTTGGGTATCCAAAATCTAAGATATGCATGCTTATCTTTAGATATATATATAGCTTAGCCTTGCTACACAACAACCTTATTGGTCTGGGGAGATTTTCAATATAAAAACATATTTTCTTTATAGCTAAACTATTCTAATTCAGCTTTCTTCATATATGTGACCAGTTCCATGAGCAATTAAAACACAAAAACTGAAGACCTATGGCAGTGCTCAGTCATCAGATTTAGATTGCATAACCCTCTTTGGCAAATAGTTTATCACCAGCAGCCAGTAGAGATTATTCAAGTGCCTGAGTGCTCAGCTCATCAATCGATACGGAAAGGAATAGCCTACATGTAACTGTCAGACCATTCCTCAGTGAATTAAACATTCGGCCATGTAAATTAAGCTGAAAAATGCAGTGAATAGCATTCCCTTCTTCTTTCCCACAAAGTGTTCCAAGTCTTGTGCTTCTCCTAGTGGAAGACAAGATTAATAATGTGTGAGCTCTTCTGAGATGATGATCAGCCCGGAAAGTTTTGATAATTGGGTGGCAATTAACCACTGTCAGGACGTGACATTATTCAGATACAATGGGCTAGCTCCCAGCTGCTGTAAATCATAAGTCATTGAAGAGTCTGACCCCCTATCTAGTTTAGCTTAGTTTCCATTCAGCAATTATCACGTTGGACATTTTTTGCTTAAGGAAAGTTCAGCTAATCACTGATAGATTATCCATTTTATGCCCTGATATACAGAGATTCTTTCTCTCCCAGTCTCATCCAGATGCCAAGGCAAAGGAGAGTATTTCTTACTGACACCTCACAGTTCTTAGCCCCATTTCTTCCTTCTGTATGTAAATATTACTTTGTGATAGCAGTTGTAAAGGCCGTGATCTCACCGGAGGCTTCAGTGTCAGCAAACCCCTGCTTCGTCTGGGGGAGGGCGGCGTGGAGCACAAAAGCAGTACTGTTTGGGGGCACAAGAGAACCCGCTGCTTCCTGCGGCCGCTTCCCTTCAGGAGGCAGCGCTCGCATACAGCGAATTTCCTTTCCCTTGTTCATCAGGACTCTCAAACTATAAAAGCCCTAATGAAAGTGAAACATGCATGTCATATATAACGAGAACAGGCTTGACTGCTAGGGAAAAAAAGTGTGAAATTACAGTATCAGTGTGAGAGGGAGAGATAGGAGCCCTCATTCCCCAGGAGAGAATTTGAATGTGCATAATTTTTTTCCATTCACAAGCTGCATTTCAGGGGGCAGCTTTTGGAGTGTGAGCGGAAGCACCAGAAAAAAAAAAACAGAGCAGTTACAAGAGAAGCGAGTGTTTTTCCCTAAACATTCAAGACCACCTTTATTACACGAACCTGGTTTGGTGCTGCATAGATGTCCACGCATAGCCCTGATAAACAGGCATGGCTTGTGTTGAAGTAAATATGGGCTGTTCTCCCCAGAGCTAATGCTTTATCTAGCCTTTCTGCAGACCTAAGAGCAAATCTTCTGTGGGTCACAAAGGAAAAAAGGAGCGACTTATCAGCTGGTTTGTTGGCTCTCCCCCTCTTTGGAGATTTTAGCAGTCCTGTGCAAGGAGGAGACTTGCCTGTGTCAGGTCTGGCTGTGGTAGGGTCTCTCTCACTCATGAGACTCTAATTTATTTTTAAAGAGCACTTTAATACAGCATAATAATATTACCACACATCTTGCTCAAGCAAAGAATTTTTCCAATCTATATTCAGTGCCAGACAGAATGACTATAAAATGAGTTACTATACCTTAAATTTCTGCCTTGGCTATAGTTACAGGAAGTTAATTAGACAAACTCTGACCGTGTCTTCTGGACCCAAATTCACATTACTTTAACACATCAGAATTATCAGCCGTGTGAAAGTTCATGCTTTTGGAGGTTGTTGAACCTAAAAGATGAAATAGCAGGTCAAAGAGCAGGGGAAAATGGCCACTATGGGGCCCAAACCAGTAAAAGAGCAGTGTTTAAACCCTGTTCCAGCTAAGCTTTAACAACTCATAACGTGACCAAAATACGTCAGAAGCATGTCTGAGGTCTGTATGCTGGGTTCAGACCATATGCAAAACTATGCTCTGAACGCAGATACTTTTCAAGTTTCCTCTTAAATTCCAAAGGCCAGTGTATTGGAGCTAGCTGTACATACTAATCTCAGTGGAGCTGACCATACTTTTCATAGCCCATGAAGCTACTGACCTTCTTAACTCTGATCAACTTTGCTGGGCAATGATAGACCTAAACCTACTGGGAGTCAGCAGGCCAGGGAAAAACAGTTTCAAATCTGAGCTTCGCTTCAGCTATCAGAAGTAAAAACCTCTGGTCATGTATGAGTGTTTTGTGATGCCTCTTCTCTAGGCATCTGTATTTCTGAGAAACGAATCTGAGAACTACTATCTTGTTTACAATTATCATCTGTCCTGCTCCCCCTGTATTGTCAGAAGTCAGGCTGCAAACTATGCCCATGGTTCTATGCCTATGGTTCTAATATCTGGTATTCCTACCTTTACGTAATCAAATCCAGACACTTCAGATATTGCTACGTATCAAACAAGGGAGAAGGACAGCGTTAATATCAAATTTAAATAGTTGCATGTTGAAACACCTCTACTGAAAGCGATGAGTAAACTTCAAAAGGTTAGAATAAACACCCAGAATAATGGCTGCATCCCTACAAGCCGCACAGACCTTCCTTTTCCTTAAATTAGGCTCAGTCAAAGGAGCACCAGCACTCAGAGAGGAGTTGGACCAAGGGATATTATTACTACTATTTTGTGTGTATTATTTGTACTGCTATAGCGCTTAGGGATTTCAAACAGGGATTAGAGTCCCATTGAACTAAGCACTGTAAAAACAAACACCACAAAGACAGTTCCATGCCCCTGAGAGCTAATCTTCGGGCCATTCCTCTGCAGCATCTGGCTAGAGAAGGGCACAAGGAAGTGTATTAGTGCGTACTGCATGGACTGCATGTAATCTTATTTCTATAACCCTTGTCCTTCCTTAACCTACTGCCCTACATCTGTTTGTTATTCTAACTCATCACCTCAGTTTAAATTTAGTTTGTGAGCTTCTTGGACAAAAGACTTTGTGTCTCTTCATTCGTTCTGCTTTTTCTGCCCTTTTTGGGTACGGTTTTTGGCCATGAAGAATAACGTACATGATTAAAAATATGAAACAAATAATGTTCTCTTCTCTCTGAAAAAAAAATGGAAAAAATCTATATGATGCTTAAATATACATCTTGAAATGTTATGATTTTGTATCTCTATGGCACCCACTATAGTCCTGCAGGCCAACGAGCAACACAGCTGATATGGCAATATAGACAAGGAGTCTGGTCAACACGTACATACACACCAAATGCTCCTCCAGACAATGCGTGGACAAAGGAGAGAGACTTGTTTGCAAAATAATTCCTACTGGTTAAGTATGATATAAACTGCTGGTATACTGTATTGTGATGATAATCTGGATTTGCAGGTACCTGAAAAGACAAAGGAACAATGCAAAGTCAAGGCAATCCAATCTCAGCAGCCCCAGGACCTGGACCAAAACTTGGAGATTTTCTCACTTTCCAAGTGCGATGTCTACAGTTAGTCCTTCCAGCCCAACCTCATGTCTACTGCATCCTCTCCTCCTGCCTGCAGTCACAGCAACTTGAGTTCTATCAAGCGACCACTTATTGGCAAAGGGGAAGCAACTGGCTGTTGCACCATTGGCAGTTTCTATCCTTTCCGAGCAAAACGTGACTATCTAGACAGATGAGCCTGTAAACTAATAGCTGGACTACACTGCACTACACTAGCAGATCTGCTACCATCCATCTATCCTGAATCTTATGCAACCCATTTGTGTTCAAAAAAAAAAACAAAGTTATTTAAAACACTCTACTGAAGAATAACAGTATAAACTATAAACAATACAGCATGTTAGTTTACATAGACTGAGTAGTGAGGATACAGACAGCGTAATGGTACAATTCACTTCTGTTTCCCCTCCAGGCTACATGGATCTGCCTGACTGTCAGTTTTAAATATTAAGCAACTCTTTCTGCAGGCTTGTAAACTTCAAACTTACACTGAAGGCATTAGACTGTGAAATAAAGGAAGACTCCAAAGAAGAGGAGTCGTCCCTCAAATATTGCTCTGCTTCTTTTCACAAGCAGCAGAGAAGGGGGTCAAAGCTTTTTAAGGCATATCTGCAAAAAAATGAAAGCGTGTAAACTTTGTGAGTGAGCTTTATTCCCAGGCCTGGAATGCCGCACACTTCTATAAGTAAGGGGTGTGGGGGAGGGAGCCCCTTCACAGTTCAGCAGTCAAGGCTGAGAGCTATTTGGATTAGATGAGGAATTTCAAGTGGAAACCATCTGAATGTGTGTGTGCCTGTGTGAAGTTGAACTGTATTTAAAGAAAACAAATGACTTACTATAGTACCTCTGCAAGGTCCAGTTCTAAAGGGGCATAAGTAAGCCTCATTTTTCTTAACATTGCAAACTTAAATGGATAGAAGCTCATGAGTTTCTTTTTCCTTCTTCTAAAAGCGAAGAATCAGGAAAAACCCATGACAGCAACAGTATGAATAAATTGGCAAGATATGCTGTAAATAGCTTTGATGCTAAACAAAAAACATCATATTGCAGCCATTTTAACATTTCAGCTTTCTTCTTCACCCCTGCCACTAAAACAGGCTTCCTCAACATGTGACGAGAAGAATTCAGAGGGATGCTTGCCAAGTGTTTTCTGACCCAAATCCTAGAGGTATCCTCCATCTGCAACAACAGACAGCTCACTGTGGTCTGCTATTACCTTCTGTTTGCTTTTCAGCACCAACTACCCCAGCTAATGAAAGAAGATGCAACCACTGAGGACAATGGTCAGAAAAAATGCAGCAGCATTTTAAAAACAAAGGACTCTGTCCGGTAACAAAAGCACAGCTAAGGCACTTTGTCCTTGAATGAAAGTCATTCAGATGACCGGCCAGATGTAAAGTGCCAACATTGAGCCTTTGCATTACTGAAAGCCCATGACTGACAGGTATCTGAGCACCTTTGAGTGTGGTGAAGGTGAACAGCTGCTCATCCCCCATGAAGCACTGAGGAAGACTTCTCTAGTCTTAATAGGCCACAACACAGAACAATAACTGAAACATGCTTATATAAAGATATTGCTTCAGGAAACCATGTGAGCTCATGTTTTAGGAAAAAAGGCTGTGCAAAGCCTAGTGAGGAAGACTTAAGGACAAGAGTTGAAGGGCAGAGTTAACTTCAGTTTCAGTCACAGCACTGCACCTACATGCTTGGCCTCTACATGTAGGGAATAAATCTCATAGCTTGAAACAGATGGGCCATCCAAAATATTTTTCCTATAGGACTGAGACCCAGCTCCACTTCCATAATGTTCATGTATATAAATGGTTGCATGAGGCCCTTCACATCTAAGGTTTGTAGTAATGCATGGTATTTACCCAAATGCCATTCCCCTAAAGGGCAGCATATTTTTGTTCTTATAATCTTGCATGGAAATTGAAATGGGCATATTTTAACATGGGAAAAGTAAATACGTTTCGCCTCAGCTAGGCACTGCTATATGCAAGAAATCACTGTGATGATGATGGCAGCGTCCTGAGATTTTTGTCTATACAATCCTGGACTGAGATTCAGAAATGACCAACAAAGAAACTTCTCCGCAAAAATTAAACCTTCAATTTCATCCAGGGCATTGCCCTGGGAATTGGATCTGCTTATCCAGACAATACACACTGTGCTGGCCTGATCAGCAAAGCTCCGTCATTTTGTTCTTCATCAAGCCTCTCTATTTGATGTAACAAACTCCCATTTACTTAGCATGTAAACACGCTGTACTTAAAATGCTTGTCTTTGATAAACCATTCTCCCCTTTGAGGATCCATTACGCCCAACATGAATTGAGCCTAAAAAGCTACTTAGAGCTTTTGGAGAATTCTTTGGATTTCCAGCTTCACATTTCAGTTACTACAATGTTTGTGTTAAGACGCTCGTCTGAGTTCTGCCCTGCAGGATTCAGAAAAGAAAAACGTTCCTTTTGTACTGAACATAACTAGTAAGTATTTAGCTTTTTTTTTTTTTGTGTATAATGACAGTACCATCTGGCATTCATCTGCTAGGTACCTCAAGAGAATGTCCCCTTCCTACTTGCCTGTATGATGCTGGCCAGAACGACAGAGTATACTAAAGGTTAACTTCCTGTAATGTGGTCTCTTGGCTTATCTTTAATACGACAACAGTTCCTTTATATTCTTAACTTTGTATTTCACATGTTCTTCTGCCTGCCTGGCAAATGGGGTCCTAAAGGATTCTTATAGGTCAGACACCTCCTAATGTGAAGCCAGGGATAATGCCAGCAAACTTAGTAACAACTATCTATAAGGCCAGTAGGCAACGAGCGAGCGTACAGAAGGCAATACAAAATAGAAATGGAAACTTGCCCAGTTAGATTTGTTCTATTCCACTGAAAAGCTTTGTACAGTGGAAGAATAAACAAACCACTGTTCTTAAAAGTCATGGTTCAACTGCTGACTCAAAAACTCATGTCTGTCAACCAGCATGAGAGGGGCCAAGGTGACTATCTGGTTAGGCTTCTCCTTTGGACTCAGCCTGATTTATCTTGCTAGTTCCAAGACCTCCATTCCTTTCTCAAAAGAGCTAAAAAGAAAGTTTGGCTCAGTCATCCCAACCGATTCCTTAAATAAACAAACAAATAAACCAGAACTGCAGTGCTAGCTCTTAGCATGTACCAGTTCAGATTCATTAATGCAGCTGCTGAGTAATATCATAAAGCTATTTTCATTCCAGCTTCTTCCTCAAACGGCAGTTTCTGCATCCTTTTTAGGATATATACTTTAATACTCCCAACCTGCTTCTTGCAAACAGCCTTTTCAAGAGAAACAACCAGTCTTGAGCAATTAAGACCTACAGATCTCCCTTCACTTCCTTCAAAGCCATTGTGGAGGTGCAGCTGAAACCCATTAAATTCAATTGAGCCCAAATGGCCCATAAGTCATATGGAAACTTCCTCTGGGCTTTTAACAAAGAGCCTTCCTTTAAATTCCAAATTACAAACAAATTCAGTCTGTTCAGCCTTCATATAAAACACAAAAAATAAAGAAAACGTACAGAGGAAAAGCTGCATCAAGCCACAGGGAGTGTTATAAGAAAGTACTTTCAGTTACTCTTCTTCTGAAGTTATATTCTTCAGTTAGAAACATATATCAAGCCATGGTAATATTTTTTTTAGCCTGGACTGGAAGCAAGCTTTATTCAGTGTATCACAAAGTAAAATTGCCAGCATTCACTTCCCCATTCTCTACCCTGTTTCCACATAGGCCAAAAATAATATATATATACACATATCCATTTATATATGTGTGTATATTATTATATGCGCACACACATATTATATCATATACAGCTACCTGATTAATCTCAGGTGCATGTGTAATAAGTAAATAATAAATGTTTATATACTTTTTATAGATAATAAATGTTTATATACTTTTTATATATGGAAATACTTTATACTAAGTATTGCTTTGTTGTCAGTTTTTGTGTGTGTCAGTTTTTATCATCAAGTTGAATATTTGTTAATGTAGCTTTATATTAGAACTCTCAATCTGCAATATTCGGGATCAATATATGTACTGCAAGATTATAAGTCAGCTGAACACCGAATAAGCCCAGGAAGATACTGAATATGAAAATTATAATTAAAATTGTTCCATAATACATCTTTATTCAGACACCTTCCCCTCCCACCCACTGTGGGACTGGTGTGCTGTAAAAGCCTTAGAAAAGCTTCTACTTCAGGGTTAACTTCATCCTAAGGGCACTGAGAATAACTGGAAGCTCCAATCTGTAAGATTTTCTATCAATTAATGTTTTTTTACATTCTTTTTAATAAGAACTTGATGAAAAATATCCTGCTTTCTATTTGGCATCCAAATAACAAGTCATTAGAAGTATGTGAATCTTTTTTAAAGTGCTATGAAGTGATATTTTCTAAAGACAATGGGTCTGAGAGGCAGACACGCGCGCACACACATGTACATTCCCAAGGCACATTAAACTGAAACCAAAAAGTAGCACTTATCTTTCAAGGCCAACCTGGACTGGTTTTACTCCGCAGGCTGAGCACCATGCCAAGGCACCAAGGCTCAGCAGTTCGTCCCTGTGCAGCTCAGAGGCCTCCACCGTGGTGGGGCGGCAGCCCGCAGAGGGAACATGGTGTCACCTTCTGCCAAGGGGGTCTCCAGCACCGCTACCGATCTGGCAGGCACCAGGACACCCAGCTACCAGACTGAAGCACAGGCACTGCCTCCTTCTCACACCCTGCTGTGGGGCCCGCACTTCCCTGCAGGGAACGGGGCGCTCAGCTGGGAACACTGCCTTCTGGCTGGATCGGTACAAATCTGTTGGTGAGGGCACAGATTAGGTTGCTGGGATGAAATGAG